TTAATTTGTTAACCATGCCCAGAAAAGAAGAAAACAAAATGCTCAAAAGAGACTATAAAGAGGTCTTTTAAAAGCCTTCTCCAGAAACAGCTAAAAAAAGAAATACAAATATTCCCCCCAATCACATAGAAGGTATATTTATGTCTTGTTTCTTCCTTAATATATATCCAAACTTCTTTTTGAATCCCATGAAATCTTTTTCTTCTGACTTTTCAGTTTTACCTCTTAGTGATCACATTGTTTAAAGACTCTGCTACCATAAGACCTCTAAATCATCGCTGTTGAAAGATCCCATTTGGAAAAATTCAGAAAGTCAGGGAAACAGGCCTAAACTTCTGGCCAGAAGATTGAGGTTAAGATAGGGACATGCTTTCCTTCAAATGAGGGTCCCGGATTTTTAGAGTAGAAAGTTAAATATTTTAATCCAACTTCAATTTACAGCCCTTACCCAAACCCATTTTTTAAAAAAATGGTTTCCAGTTTCTATGTTTTAAATGCATTTACCTTGGTTATCATGACATATTTCAAATACAACAAAGTAAGACTTTACCATAACAGGTGTCTGGAACCAAGACCCAGCTACCAAGCTCTACCAAGTTCTGAAAGTTTGCCATATTTGCTTCAACTTCTAATTTTTTTTAAAGAAATAGCTCATTACAAATGCAATTGATGTTTTTTGACTGCCTCTCTTACATTTTACGGCAGTTTTTTCCTCCTTCTTTGCCTCCCCAGAGATAATCATCAACCTAAATTTGGTTATCATTCTCATGTATTTTTACACTATTGCAACACAATAATCCAGAGTTGCTTGGCATATTTTCAGATTTTTCATAAATGGTATCATACTGTATTCATCCTTCAGTAATGCCCTTTCTTCACTTCATGTTGTATTCAAGATTTAATCAAGTTGATATGTACAGCTGTAGTTCATTCATTTTCCCTGGTGTACCACATCTACTGCAAGATGTTTCACAATTTATCCATCCAATGTTTTCATTTTTTTGCTACTACTCATGATGCTATGAACATTTTCATACATGTTTCTTTGACCACATATGTAACATAGTCTCTAGATTTTCAACTTATTTAATATTGTCAAAATACTTTTCAGAATGATATAGCATTTACACTTCCACTAGGCTCCCAATCCTAGCCAACACTTGATATTACTAACAATAGATGTAAATTTTGTTAATCTGAAGTGTGTTTTTCAAATTTGAATATCCCTTTTTACTAGCATTCTTTCCACAATGTTTATTAGATTTCAGCTTCTATTCCAATACGTTGCATGGGTTTGCTATATTTATAGGAGTTATTATTTCTGCATAATTATCCTTTATTAGATATCACAGTTATAAATATCTATTCCAAATTGTAGATTTTTAAAAACTTCTTTCATGGGTGTTCTTTTTCTGACTGAAGAATCTTTTAAAATTAACATATCTCAATTAATCCATAGTGAAATTCTTCTTTGTCTTAAGGTCATAAAGATATTCTCTTAAATTTTCTTTTAACAGTATTAAGTTGATCATATAACTTTGCTCTTTGAACCTACTAGGATATTCCTTAATAAATGTTAGATTTAATTTCTTAGTACTTCATTTAAATTTTCACCTCAAAATTCACAATGAAGTTTGTTTATATAATTGACCTTTCTTTTACTGTATTTGTTTGGCTCTGGTATCAATATATATTAATCTAACAGAATCAGTTGGCAATTTTCATTTCTTTTACAGGCTACACATAGTACAGGTTACCTGTTCCTTGAAGGTTATATGAAACTTACATAAAATTTCCCAGCCCCTACTTGGAGGGAGAGTTTGGAACCCTCTAGAATACTAAAATAATTGCTTTAATTGTGTCAAGGTTTAGTTGTTATTGTCTTTCTTTTTTCAATTTCAACAAAATTATTGGCAATTCTTCTATAAATTATGCATTTTACCTAATTATTTAAATGTATGGGACGAAAATCATTAATAACATTCATGAATTATTTTTAAGTTGCATTGGAACTATAGTTACTTCCTATTTATGTTATTTATTTATGTCTTTTTTTTCACTTTATCAATCATGTAAAATATTCACCATATTATTAGCCGTTTTAAAAACCAGATTTTAATTGTTGGTCTTTTCTACAGTTTCTTTGTTTACATTTTCTGAGTTTCTGCTTTTCCATAGTAACATCATTTCTTCTTTCTTTAGGTTTCTCCCTGCTCTTTCTCTAGACTTCTTGAATAAATCTATATTTATCTATTTTCTAAGCACTCATTTTATGATAAATGCATTCAAAAGTCTAACTTTCCCTTTAAATATCTCTCATTAATAACTTTACTTTCAGACTCATTCTAAGGGAGGATTTTAATTTTATTTTCGTTCCCTCTTCCTTGCTCCATCACCTTCTCTTCTTATGTGATAGTTTTGCCTCAACAGATGACACATTGCTTTTTATTTCTTTAGATTCTTTTTCCAGGGGGAAGGATAGTCCCATTCTAGGAGAGATCAAGACTATAGTAAGATTTTAAACTTACGTATATTTACCTTTCTGACAAATCATTAATAATAGTACTCAAGGGCTTCCCTGGTGGCGCAGTGTTTGAGAGTCCGCCTGCCGATGCAGGGGACACGGGTTCGTGCCCCGGTCCAGGAAAAGCCCACATGCCGCGGAGCGGCTGGACCCGTGAGCCATGGCCGCTGGGCCTGCACGTCCGGAGCCTGTGCTCCGCAACGGTAGAGGCCACAACAGTGAGAGGCCCGCGTACCGCAAAAAAAAAAAAAATAGTACTCAAAATGTTAAGAAAATTACTATTTATTCCCTGTCCTATGAAAAACTGATATACAAAAACCTTTACATAGAAGAGAAAGAATTTGAGGGGGAATGACCATTATGAAATGATGTCTTAATGATTCCTGTTATGCTTGGACCAAACATTGTTCTGAGCATTTTAGATATTTTGTATATATCAGTTGATAATTAACCCCTTGGCCTGGATGGCAAGGCAGACAAGAGAAAGCCTAGAGCTAGAATCTATTGCAATCAAAAATAATCAGGCACTATCTTTGGACACTTGTCATTGAAAAATGAAAAACAAACAAACAAACAAACAAAATACCCATGGTCTCTAACAGTAAATGCATCATCTAGTTAAGCTAAAGCAATGTTTCAATCATAACGTATGTGAATGAGGAAATAAAACTCATTTTAGAAAATAATATATTTGAACAGAATTCTTTGGGTTATATCTATGTGAAAGAGACCCACAAAAATATAGAAAATAAGACTATGCATAACTGAGAAAAGAATATGCATAACCAGAAAAACAGGTGTGAAGAAGATATTTGTGTTAAAAATGCCAAAAATAGCATATGCTTTACTTTAAAAACTCAGAATCATCACAAAAAACATAATACAAAGAACTTAAATCTGGGCAATTTTTTGCTTTTCATAGAAATTTTAGTATTTCACATTCTTGAACTTCAAATTACTTTAATCTCTTTTACTTCCAGATATTTGCGGTACTTTCCCCAAGTTGGGGACCAATGTTTTAGAATAAATTCATACAATAGCCTTATAATGAGGAAATACAAACACAAACCTAGCTTTTCCTGTAGTGCAGTGGGAAGAATACTTTTTAAATTTGACCTACCTTTGAATTCTGCCTCTGCCATTTGACTCAGGTAGTCAGAAATTTCTCTCTGTGATGTCTACATAAGGTATTTTTGGTGTTGCTGGTAGTTTATCATCTATCTATCTATCTATCTATCATCATCTAACTTGGTATCTCCTTCAACCTACAGTTCATATTTATTACATCTTTGCATTTGTGACCTATCACTCTTCTGTAATTTCTATAAATCGATGTCACAACTTCTAGATCTACCTTTCACGTCATCTAATTTTGCTTGCATATTTTCAATTTCTTTATCTTTTGTGGTATGTCCTATAAGAATCATTTGGCTTGATCTTTCATCATGTTGATTCTTTTATTTAGCTTTTTTAAGATATGATCTTTAGTCTCTTACCATGGGAAATTTCAAACATATTGAAATAGAAAAGAAAATACAATGAAGCCCACATATCTATCATTAAGTTATCTTTAACAGTTACTGACACACAACCAGTTTTGTTTCATCTACCAGCACTGACTCTCTTGAATTTTAATTTCTGTGGTCAGATTTTTAATTTAATGATATGTTTAATTGTTTTTTAATAGATTAAGTGTTTACTTGTATCATTCTGAGTTTTCAGGTATAATTTATTTGGTTACTCAAATTCATGGGCTCCCTGTCTTTGTATTCTTAAATTTTTGGTGATTCTTGATTGTGCACTCAATTTTGTGGCTGAAATTTCTGATTATATTGTCTGTTGTATGTGTTTTGCACAACCCAAAGAGGGTTAAGTGTTGTGATGAGGTGCTGGAATTTGTGCAGCAGTCTGTTTGAAGAGATGTCCTAGAAGCAGAATGTGGGAATTCCCTGGCTGTCCAGTGGTTAGGACTCTGTGCATTCACTGCTGAGGGTGCAGGTTCAATCCCTGATCAAGGAACTAAGATCCCACAAGCCATGAGGTGTGGCCAAAAAAGAAAAAAAAAATAAAAGAAGATGGGACAGAGTGCATCAGCAGCTGGTCTTCTGGGTGTGAGGACACATACTTCTAGGTCTTGCCAGCCACTTGGAGTCCTGCCTCATTTCTCAAAGCCAAGCTCCCACATACTGATGCCTCTAGGATGAAGACATCCTGAATAGCCAAGAAGTAATGTACCAGGAGTTTGACCTCCTAGAATATCTTGCTACTGTACCCAATTAATTACCCCAAGAGTTACCCCTGCTTCTGTCTCCTCTCTATTCACCCCCCTCCAGCTTCTGACCCCATTATCTGCCTAATGTTCCTCTGCTCCTGTTTACATTTCATAGTTCAGTTATTTCCCATGGTTTCTAGTCAGTAAAATGTTTCCTTTCTATTTTTCTAGTATAGTTATGAATTAAAAATTTTTATTTTGTAGGTGCTGTATGACGCTGCATAAGAGTATGGGCTCTGGATTCAGACTGCTTGGGTTGAATCTTAGCTCTACAATTTCCTGTATGGCCTCAAGTAAGTTTATTAATCTCTCTGTGCCTCAATTGCCTCAAATGTAAGATGGAGATCAAAATGGTCCATGGGATTGTTATGAGGATTAAATTATTGGCATCTAAAATGCTCAGAACGATGTTTGGTCCAGAGTGTAGTATGATTCTAAAATACAATTTTATTAAACTTGTGAAGCAAGGAATATCTGTGTTCAGAAACACAACCTATCCAAACAAAACCTGAAAAGATCTTATATACCATTCTAGACAAGCACATAAGATCTTGAAGAACTCTATCAAAAATAGGAGACAATTCTGAGTGGCTCCTAGATTCAAGCAGGACTACTTTAACATACCTGGCATTCTGATATGTTCCAAGTTAAAGCTGGCTTGATTTTAACCTACAGTTTTGATATGATTTCAAACAGCCAAGTTCCTCAAGGTGTATGATTTTAAGCAAGAGGTTTTCTAGTGTTACGTCCTTGCTACCAATATGATTCAAAGTACACGGCCTTTTGGTGCTCCATCCTTGACGTTCATAAGCTGGAATGCTGTAGATAGTGCACAATAAAGGTTACTTGCTATTACTATTGTTATGGTTACTATTTGAAGTGAACATTGCTACCTGTGCTCTTTATGTGGCCCTGGTGCCATATGACCTTGGGCAAGTCACTCAACAGCTTTCAACCTCATATTTCTCATTAGCAGATGGAGATAAAACAATACCTATCTCACCAGGTTAGATTGCCATGGAAACTAGAAATAATATACTTAATTGCACAACCATGAAGATTTTTCAATAAATTATAGTTCTCATATTAATTAGATACCTTATTCTGGTTCAAATGACTATAATATCTTTTGGAAAACACAGCTGTCCATGACTCGGCTTGTGACCAGCCAGGCTCCAGGTGGGAAGATGTGCTGTCAGATAAGTGCATTAATGCTCGGTGTAATGGTTCAATTATTGGCCCGACAGGAAGTACTTGCATATTATTATTGTGGGATATTTCAGACTGGTGCAATTTCCATTACAGAAGTCTCCCCTTATCTGTGATTTTGCTCTGTCATTTCAGTTACCTGCAGATCAAACCATGGGTCAACCATGGTCTGAAAATACTAAATGGAAAATTCTAGGAATAAACAATTCATAGGTTTTAAATTGTGCACCATTCTGAGTAGCATGATGAAATCTGTGCCATCCCACTGCATCCTGCCCAGGACGTGACTCATCCCTTTGTCCAGCGTATACTGCCCATTAGTTACCTAGTAGCTGTCTCAGTTATCAACTCCACTGTCACGATATTGCAGAGCTGTGTTCAAGTCACCCTTAATTTACTTGGTAACAACCCCAAAGCGCAAGAGTGGTGATGCTGGCAATATGGATATGCCAAAGCGAAGCGGTAAAGTGCTTCCCTTAAGTGAAAAAGTGAACGTTCTCGACTTAATAAGGAAAGGAAAAAAGTCATATGCTGAGGTTGCTAAGATCTATGGTAAGAATAAATCTTCTATCCATGCTATTGTGAAGAAAGAAAAAGAAATTCATTCTAGTTTTGCTGTCACACCTTAAACTGCAAAAGTTACCACTGTTAGGCATGGTGAGAGCTTAGTTAAGACAGAAAAGGCATTAAATTTATACAAGATATTTTGAGACAGAAAGACCACATTCATATAACTTTTATTACAGCATATTATTATAATTGTTCTAATTTATTATTAGTTGTTGTTAATCTTTTATTGTGCCTAATTTATAAATTAAACTTTATCATAGGTATAGGAAAAAACTAAGTATATATAGGGTTCAATATTATTCAGGGTTTCAGGCATCCCCTGGGGGTCTCGGAACATATCCGCTGAGGATAAGGGGAGACAACTGTATCGTCAGAAAGGACATTATTCTACTTGAGCTGTATCAGCTCAGAATAGTGGGAGTCAGGCCGTCACAGCAGAATTAAATGGTAGCCTAGAACAGTGACCCTTAAATTGGGATAACCTAGGTATATGCGAGAAACTTAGTAAGTAGTAGGAGACATAGTTTTAAGACAATACATTTCTAGGTCTCTAGTTCCACTTAAACTCTTTCTTCAAAACGATCTGCCTGAGAACCAATTAAAGGTCATGATGGAAGTGGGAACCCCGCTCTCCTTCCTGTCCTCCCCTTACTACCTCCTTCCTTTTTGTGCTCGCCCACTTTTCCTTTACAAAAGAAAGGCACATCCAGGGGGGTACATACTTCAAGGATATCAAATAAAAGGACACTATGAAACGGTGGTGTCTTTGGGTAACGTCATATACCAGTCAGGTAGTTTTATACTCAACTTTCAACAAAAATGAAGAATAACTTAATCTATTAACTGATGAATCAATAAAATTCTTTCAGTAACAGGTAACTATGCGATATTTGGCACAACGTCAAGAGTAGTTCAAAGAACTGAGTGTTAGTGCTATAAAAATAGTCACCGTCACATTTTTATGTATGTGATTAAGTTTTTTTAGCGTTTACATCTATGAATATTTAAAAATGAAATAGGATTGATACTGAACTCTCTCTCACTCTAGCAATAAGTAATATTCCCCAAGGATATGTGATAATGAGAATAAGGAAAGCCCATTGTCTCATTGAGAGCTACATTCCTAACATTTTACCTTTTGTCTTAATAATTACCATTTTAATATACTCTATATTGTTTTTAAAAACTGTGTGTTAATAATAATTGTCATGATAACTTAATCTAAAGCAAAACTTTTAAAACATAGAGCCTCATGGTATAGTAAAGTTGAAAACTTTTAAGTTTCACTTTCCTTCATTCAAAAAATATTTAGCCAGCATCTACTTTGTGTTAGGCCCTGTCTCAAGTGCTAGGAATTTAGCAGTGACCAAACAGAAAAGAAATTTCTATCCTATGGAGTTTGCATTCTAGGTAGGTAGAGTTCAGATAAAACCAGATAACAAATGCATATAAAATATAATGGCAGAGATACATATTTTTCTGCCAGAAGACTGTGGTAGGGTGTTTTAAGCATAAAATATATTAGAACAATATTCTGTAGGGAAAAAACATGTTTAAGAAGGAAAAAAAGGAACATTAAAATGAAGAGCTTGATTATGCACTTTTAAAATGGTTTATGGTAAGGATTCTATAGCTATAACCTTAGATTCCACTGGAATATTAAAGAGTCACATAATAGTACCCTAACATTTTTTATTTTATGTCTTTTTTTACAATACACTAGAAATATCACTCTTCAAAAATGATTTTAAAATGTAGATGTCTTCTTTAAGATGTATGAGAGAGCATATAATTTTGCAAAACCATGTGAGCAAATTTAAGGACACTGGATAGAAGGCACAAACTCTGATCCTTAGTACCTAGACTATGGATGGTATTAAACCTACTTAAGTTATGTGGTGAAATATCACTTAAGGACCTGGGTGTAAATTCATGTTAGTTTTCCCTAAATATTTGTTTTATATTTATGTCAAAACAAGCAGTTTGCTTAACATTTGAACACTAAATATCCTCTTAATAATACAATGATAGACCAACTCTTTCTGATGTTTCACTGAAAACAATTTTATAAAACTTCAAAAAACAAACAAAACCTATGTACTTTGAAGGTATTGCTAAATTACTTAGGAAAAAATAAAACAACCTACCTTTTTAAAGTCATCATTATTTAATTTGGAAACTACCCTCAATGATAATAGAAGATTTTTTGTGTAAACACATGCCACATTCCTCAGATTAAACAGATTCCAAGACCTGTGATGCTGAGCATAAATGAAACCTTCTAGTACACGTATTTGTTATGATTCTGAACATCCAGTACTGTATTAACCTAACTCTTTTTTTGCGGGTTTCTACTCACAATAAGAAAACTATCATGGGTGAAGCTCGGAGGTCTTGTCTCCATCTAGTGGTCAGTGTGTTGTACTAATACTATGATTTTAAAATCAAAATATTGTGGGCATTTTATTTTCTTAATTGTCATGAAAAATGACCTAACCAAGATACTACAGTGAGTCCCCTACATAGGAACCTTCAAGTTGTGAACTTTCAAAGATGCAAACGTGCGTTCACATGTGCAATCACATAAGTTAGTTCACATGTCTGGTGTACATTGTCACATGCATGCATCCTCTACAAGCGGTTGTGCTTTTGTGTACTTTACTGTATAGTACTGTTGCTGTGCAACACGAGGAGCTTAGTATTGAAGACCTGATGGAATTGGAGGCCAAGAGAAAGGACGCAGAGAGACAAGAGGAAGAAGAAGTAACTGAAGAACCAAAGAGATTCACGATGTAGGAAATGGAAAGGGGATTTTCTTTATTTGAGGAGACACTGTTAGTTTTTGAGGCTCAGGACCCGAACATAGAATGGTCCACAAAGGTTGCAGCAGCCATTCAGAATGCAATCCAGTGCTACCATGTCATCTGTGATGAGAAAAAAAGAGCTACTACCCAGACATCACTGGATCGTTTTTTCAAGCACGTAGATAGAATTGAATCCAGCAAGGAACCAGATTCTGTGCCATCAGCGTCAGGCATGAGTGAAACTGCAGCTCGCCCTGCGTCCCCTATTGCTGATGATCCTTCAGCTCTACCACCTCCCACCTCCTCTCCCTCCTCCAGTCAGTAACTCTTCTTGCCTGTTCACTCCATGCCAGCCCATGTATTCCAGCTGTTATACTGTACTACTGTACTTTTCAAAGTAGTATACTGTACCTTGATTAAAAAGTCTATTTTTTGCGTTTGTTTTTTACATATTATTTATGTGAAAAGTATGATAAACCTATTACAATACAGCACTATATAGCTGATAGTGTTAGTTGGGTACCTAGGCTAACTTTGTTGGACTTACAAACAAATTGGACTTATGAACGCACTCTGGGAATGGAACTCGTTTGTATATGGGGGACTTACTGTACTGTTACTTTCTAATCATGGCTATCAAACTTGACAAGTAAATAATCAGATAGAAGATATATAATCTTAAAAAAGATACGTTGAAATATATGACTTGA